TCACATACAAAAAATGTAGGATTGAGAACATTGTCCCATAACCGAGGTGACAACAACACACAGACATTAATCTCATAACTTAAATAATTTATTTTGGAGAAAAACAAGATGCACGTTAGTAAACTACACAAAGCTTTAAGAGAATCATAAAGTTTAGTGGGAAAAAAAGATTTATTATTCAAGAAATCAATACGTCACCTTTTTCCTGTGAAATGATTGGTCGACTGAAATTACTTCCTGTAAACATTGACGCTTACTGGTCGCTTCCCGAATGACGTTGCCGGATGCTGCAGCTGATTTTCCGGTCTGTTCCCCGATGGTCCGTTCTCTGGTAAAATGGCAGAGGTCGGACCGAGGCTGGGCGGCGGAGTTTACCGACTGTCCGCCCTGAGGAACAGCCACAGTCGACCCGTGATCACCGGCGACAGCCCCGGGTCTCTGCTGGTGAACTGCACCGTCAGTGAGAGCCGGGTTAAGGAGGAGTCAGACCGGGATCAACGTGAGGATCAGCCGGTGTCAGAGAGTAGAGCTGCACAACACCGATCAGAGAGAGTTCACAGAGGGAGAAGAAGTCAACAGCAGCAGGATGACAGACGTTTGCTTTGTCCGATGTCTTTGCAGCTGGATTCATCACGTTTTTTTGGGTTTGTTCATACAAGAGTGAGGCTGCAGGCTCAGAACTCAACCCTGCACCACCTTGCAGGACCACATCCTCTCCTGCGGGAGAAGCTGCTGCCCTGTAGGATGACCCCCTGGACTAGAGGAGCTGTCTCCACCCTTCCTGACACCTTCAGGTCTCATCAGCAGCTCCGAGCTCTCTGCACTGTCATCTTCATCCTGGCGGAGCAGGAATCAGAGAGGCCGGGCTGTGCACAGAGACTGAGACGACTGAAACCACAACCTGATCCGTGCACAGCAACTAGGAACTACAGCTGGAGGAGTGACAGGAGCTCCAAGGATGCTCCTCTGCACAGAAGCAGGACGGCCTATTACGATATCCTCAGAGTGACCCCTGGTGCCACGCAGTCCCAGATCAAGACGGCCTACTACAAGCAGTCCTTCGTTTACCATCCCGACAGGAACCAGGGGAACAAGGAGGCCACCCAGCGCTTCTCTGAGATCAGCGAGGCTTACACCGTGCTGGGCAACATCACCCTGAGGAGGAAGTACGACCAGGGCCTACTGAACCAGGCAGACGTCCAAAGCGCAGGGAGACCATCCTCCAAAGAGGCCACAGGCAGATCCACAGCCCCCCCACAGCAGAGGAACTCAGACAGAGCCAGAAGGTTCTCCCAGGCCACAGGGAAGACCATGTTTGATTTTGACGCCTTTTATCAGGCTCACTACGGGGAGCAGCTGCAGAGAGAGAAGGACATGAGAGCCAGGAAGGAGCGCATGAAGGAGAAGCAGAGGCAGAATCTGGGCAGGTGGAGGCAGGGGAAGATTATGGAGATGACTGTAGTGATGCTGCTGGCACTGGCAGGGGTGTTATTTGTGAATGTCAGCAGGCCCTGAAATACAAGCAGCGAGCGGACGTTGCCCTCTGGGGTTACATGTTATGACTCAGGGGGGAAGAGCTGGAGGGGGCTACCGCTGACTTTTTGCTTGTGTTGCACAGTTTCTGATGCTGGATGAGGATTATGTTGCAGGAGGAAATGGAGGCTGGCTCTCTGAAGCTACTCGCTCACAAAATGTATCGCAACAAGCTCAATGTATTAAAGTTCACAACTTGTCAAGTGTGTCTAAAAAAAATAGTCAGGTGCTGACATGAACACAAATAGGTTTTCAAACTGTCATCATTCCTCCTGTTCACTCCGGCCATTTAGAGGTCCCCTCCTGATGTGCTTTTATTTGAAGTTTTTGCAACAAATATGAGGCTGCAGCAGTTTGTGTTGGACAAATCAACTGGTTACAGGTCTTTTTGTTGAATACAGAATTCACTCTTTGTTTTTATATGTTCACTGAAGCTCAGTATGTAAACAACCCAGAGAAACAAAAGTATGACTGTCAAAGTTATAATTTGATGTGTAACACAACCTGCCAGAGCCCCATACAGTTGTCAGATAAACACAGAATAAGAACTGTGGGTTGTATCTTCCATCACTTACATGCAAAAGGATAGGATACAAAAAGTGTAAACACATTTTACAAACACAAACACTTACCTAGAAATGTATGATTAATAAAAACAAAATAACAAAAACAAGTGGAAATTGGAAATCTGCAGATCACATAGCAAGATGTGAAATTATTTATTCCTGCGTTGATTTAAGCATGTAGCTTTTTCAAATGCACCCTCTGAAAGGTTGATAAGAGATTATATTGAATACATCTTTTAAACATTTTATTATAAAACTGGTAAACACTGCTGCAACCTCTGCTGGAAAAAGTTGCATATTTAGAGAGTTGTGTCATCAACTACTGTTCTAAAAGTTACAATGTAAACCCTTTTTGTTTTTGGACAGCTTAAATAGATGTGGTGATACTGATGCAAGTTCAGGGCGTCTCATTCGGCTGCTAATAGATTAACGCAGGTTATTTKTGTCCAGCTTCTCTGAAAACCTGACAGTTTTGAGACCAGGTCGA